TGTTAAAGGTGCCCCTGGCTGAGTCACTCCCTGTCCTCCAGTTGGTGAAATGATTTAGCCAGCAGTCAATCAAAAAGCTAAGCTGATTTTGGGCAATAGACAGCCTTGCCATTGACAAAATCTATGTGAGTAACTGTGGTAAGAAATTTGTCAACAGGATATAAGAAGTAAGGTCAACATTGTGGTTAATGGGCTTTTATTTTTTTTTTTAATTTTTTTTATTGTTATGTTAATCACCATATATTACACCATTAGTTTTTGATGCAGTGTTCCATGATTCATTGTTTGTTCATATGGTTAATGGGCTTTTAGTTAGCAGTCCATTCACAGTGTTCCCTCTCACCTCTCTTTAGTATGGGCTATTTCTCAAAACTTTGAAAATGTGATTTCAGGTGTGATTCTGAACCTCACCCCACCATTATTTGCAACAGGAGCCAAACACAGATAGAGAACACATAATTCCTAGTAATCTTAAAAGAGAAAAAGAGAAACCTCTAGAAATTAATTAATTAAAAACAATAGGGGTATTACAAATATCTTCATGGTTGTTGAAGTTATCCTGACATGATTTGAGCTCACTACAATGAAACAGGCATAATGGTGGTCAATTTTAGCATCAGATATGTAAAGTAATCCTCATTTAATAAACAAGAACATCTTTTTAAAATTTCAAGTATGTAAAATTAGGCAATGTCTAATCCAGAGGAAACATTCAATAAATGAGAGTGAATATTACCATTTTTAAACTTACTAAAAAAAGAATATAGGTTCTATTTTAATTCACCACACAATTGAACTAAAACTTCCAATACTATTATGAGCATAAGCACATGAAGAATACCAAGAACTCTGCTTTTGAAAAAAATCAGGATGGGGTGCCTGGGTGGCTCAGTCGTTAAATGTCTGCCTTGGGCTCAGGTCATGATCCCAGGGTCCTGGGATTGAGCCCCGCATCGGGCTCCCTGCTCAGCGGGAAGTCTGCTTCTCCCTCTCCCACTCCCACTGCTTGTGTTCCCTCTCTCGCTGTGTTTCTGTCAAATAAATAAAATCTTTAAAAAATTTTTAAAAAATCAGGATAATAGCAATAACTTCCCCACATGGTTATTTAGATTTCTGAACAATGTGCATTTCTATATATATAGTGCTATTATATCCATTATAGATCATCCCCTTTGATCCTAGAACCTCCCTACTGACTCTAACCATGATTTATAAGACAATTTCCCCCATTTCTCCCTGTTTTGTAGTCTTCTAAAATTAGTTTTGCTTACTCTTTCCATCTATTTTTTTGAGGAAGAAAAAGCAACCAATTTTGGATAGAGAAAGGGAGACAGAGGTGATAAGGTTCCTTCTAAAGCCACTGGCTATTTTTCAGGATGCAGGAAATAGCCTGAGCCAATCCATTCATAGGACAGGTTTTATTCTTTTTTTTTAAACTCCTAGGTCAGTTTTTCTTTTTTGACATTTCCTTTAAAAAGGTCTGGATAATCCCTTTTAAATCTGATTATAGGGGCGCTTGGGTGGCTCAGTTGGTTAAGCGACTGCCTTCGGCTCAGGTCATGATCCTGGAGTCCCAGGATCGAGTCCCACATCGGGCTCCCTGCTCAGCAGGGACTCTACTTCTCCCTCTGACCCTCTTCCCTCTCATGCTCTCTATCTCTCGTTCTCTCTCTCTCAAATAAATAAATAAAATCTTTAAAAAAAATAAACAAATCTGATTATATTTTACATGCATGCTCTAAAAAGGTGATTTAATGTTATTTAAGTTCCTGAGATTTTTAAAAAAAGATTTTATTTATTTATTTGTCAGAGAGAGAGAGAGAGAGGACAGCAGGGGGAATGGCAGGCAGAGGGAGAAGCTGGTTCCAGGATCCTGGGACCATGACCTGAGCCAAAGGCAGGTACTTAACCAACTGAGCCACCCAGGTGTCCCCCTGAGAAGATTTATATGAAGAAAAGTTTAATAACCACAAGCACAGCCTACTGCTGTTTACCAATATCCCTTTGGAAGAGCTAATTAAAAGTAGGAGTTGGGTCTATATGGTCTTCATTGTCTCTAGCTATATTCTGTGATTCAAAATGTATCTACTGAGTGCCTATATGTTGTGATGGGCATATAGAAATTAACACACCAGATATGATCTTGACAATGGAGACCGCAAGCCAGAGAAGCATGTAAATGCCAGACTGTCAGTAACCTGAGGTCAAGTTTTCCATCTTGTGCACTATCATATTTTCATGGTCTGGCAATGCCTAGTACATTTTAAGTGTTCAATCAATATTGTGAAAGAGTAAGGGTGAACATAAGGTGCTACGGGACTTAGCTCAATCTGGAGATGTGGTGAAGATTCAACCTGCATATTCAGTTGGTCTCTGGCCATCATGCCATTGTTGCTAACTATAGTACTGGTGCTATTCTGAAAGCCTAGAGGCATGACAGTGCTATTCAGTTTTTTTTTTTAATGTTTTATTTATTTATTCATGAGAGTCAGAGAGAGAGAGGCAGAGGCAGAAGGAGAAGCAGGCTCCCCGCCTAGCAGGGAGCCCGATGCGGGACTCGATCCCAGGACCCTGGGATCATGACCTGAGCTCAAGGCAGATGCTTAACCATCTGAGCCACCCAGGCACCCAGTGCTATTCAGTTTTTGAACTCACAGTCCTTATAAGAGAGATTACTCTTTAAGTGGGTACGATTACCTTCAAGGGAAACTACTCCCATACTTGTGCCTGTGTATTCAGTTTAAAGTTCAGTGACCTGAAGCAAAGCAAATTACTGGCAGGGGACAGAAACATCGGACAAATCATCTACTACAAAGAATCCTGTATGAGAAATAGAAACATCAGAAAAATCATCCACTACAAAGAATCCTGTATGAGAAATAGAAACATCGGAAAAATCATCCACTACAAAGAATCCTGTATGAAAAAAAGAATCATGGTTCTAATTTTAAAACATAATCAAGTATTCCACTTTAAAATATCCTTCTTTTACGGAAGTGCCAGAAGAGTAGAAAAATACTAATTAGGCACCATAATTCATATAACATATATACATATGAAGATCATGTATTTTGTTTGTAATTTTCTAGAAGATTAAAACTCTCAATGGGTGCCTACAGAGTCTTCCAAAGCAAGAATAATTTGAGCAACAGTTCTATCATAATTCATTAACTTGGAGTTTTTAACCAACTCAACTCAATATTCTAAACTTTTTACCTAAAATAAATTGCTGTATATTTTATTTTGTTTTTTTTTAAATATGATATGCAAAGTAAGAGCCCCATACATTTTAATATAGTTTGCAATCCCCTTGTGGACAAACACTCACACTTTTGTGCCACTTAAATGAAGAATAACCATTCATCTGTAACATACAGATACAGAAGGCTCTGGATTTTCATTTTAAAGTGCTTAATTACCTGAATAAAGACAGAAATAAAATAAAAGAGTCTAGGCCAAGTTCATGAGGGTTTGAAATTACTTTTTTTTTCTAAATGAGCAACAAAGCCTCCTCAATGTTGCAAGCTGTTGTGTGGCCATAAGCCAATAGAAGAAAATGTTAAAAAGAACAAGAGGTTCGGGAATTAAATTCAAATATATGAGGCAAGAACCAAAATCAAAAGCTGAAAGATGTAGGTGGTGTTTCCAGCCACAGGACTATGACATATTTGTAAGAAAAATCCAATAAAGCAATACAGTTAAATAAAGCAATAAAGTTAAATCTTCACATTAAGTATCCCGATGTGGGAAGTTACATAATCCAAGGTTATTTTTGAGGATTTCCTGCCTCCAGTCACCCACAAACTTCTGTTTCCAGTATTCCTATTTATTAAAGTACTCAGCATCACTATCGGGCCACATAAAACATAGTATTAATTCATGAACCCAAAGCCTTAGAATGAAAAGCCATTTTTCACATAAATCTAAACTGCCATTCTCAAGTAATTTGAGTTCAGTACCATAATTTCTAAGTTTAGCAGGAAAGTAAGCATATCACAGAAGAAAAAGGCAATAGATTTAACCTTGAAACAAGGTGACTGCCATATAGTTGTTGAAAGAATTTACTTATTATCAGATAAAGAATTTATAGTATTTATTCCCTCTAGAGATATAAAATGGTGATCAATCAGCAGTTCAAGATATTTATTTACACCTAGAAGAGGATTATGACTTTTAACTTTTGAAAACCAAAATAGAAAAAAAAAAAAAACCCAGCTCTAATGTAGTTTATCTTTTAGATGCCAGATTTAACATTAAATAATTCAAGCTAAATGTTATTTCTCAAGTTCTTCTTTCATATATTTCTATATTTCATATGAACATACTGTAGATAAAATAGGGGTTTAAAAAACATCTATTTAGAATGCTTAATGTTATATAGACAGCTTCTATAAGTTATTGAAATACATAATCTACTGATCAATTCATCTATCCCTCCGTCCAACAACCATTTTACCTATCCTTCCCAATCCTTTCAATCTACTGATATTAGTCATCCTCTGATTCCCTTGAATATGCATGTGTACCCTCAGGAAATACCTGTACACATGCAAAGAGAAAAAAAAGTCTCTGACCAAAAAATCTTATGGTGATCCTTTCCTTTAAACAACTGGTTATATAAGGGGATTCTTTGTTTTGTTTTGGGTCTAATCAAGCCTTATAAGACTTACCTTGTGTATCTAGTGGGCCTTCAAATGAAATGCTTCTTTGATAAATGGCGTGTTTTTCTTATATAATTGTTTCCTTGCCTACTCCACCTGGTCCAAACAACTGTGAACTAAAATTTATGCTGCTGATACAAAAACAGCCCATACACAAATTCACCCAGACAGCCTGAATAGATAGACTGGTAAGTTTAGAACTAACCACACAGTAAATACACACATGCATGTGCACGCATGCACACACGCGCACACACGCGCGCACACACACACACACAGGCAGAGAGAGAGAGAGAGAGAGAAACTAATAAACAAAATGCTTAAATAAATAAAGGATATTGTCATCTTCTCCACAAACTTATCATGTTGATTTTCTGTTTCAGGGAATTTCTTGATGTCACGTTCCAGATTAATAATTTGTTGTTCCATTGCTGTAAGGTTGCTCTTGAGAATTTGAGCTGAAACTAAAGAACAATGTGCAAAGTGTTTAGAGTATTTTACCAAATATTCCATGAAACAACTAAAAGAAAACAGTATCATTTAAAATATTTTCTAATGTGTAGAATAGTTTCATGAAGTCAACTCACATTTTTCTGAATTACTGCTCATAAAAATTCTACTCTCTATGAAATAAGTGAAAATGTGTAATATAATATATCAAATCATGTTTAATATGAGAATGTCACCATTTTATTCAGCCATTAGTTCAAATGAAGCTATTTCTATTTAAATTTATTGATGGAATTCCTAATACTTCATTCTTTAAAATCTAATTTGAAGATTAAAGAGAAACCAATGTTCAAAGAGATCTTACTTTATTGATGCACGTTCTTGGCTATATAAATGATATAAAGGTAAATTATAAAAGGGTTCAAATATTTTTCTTTTGTTGAAACATCATGATTTTTATAAAACAACATCTATGATAAAAGTTCTTGTTTTAGTACTTTTCATATGCATAGAGATGTGAAAAATTACTGTTGATACATAAAGAGGATTTAGAGCAAAACCCCAGAGAATACATATGCACATACATACCATACCCACAAAGCTTCAGAGTGCCCTCAAACACTATCATTAATTGCTTTAATTACCCCTAACGTTATCTGTACTTTTCTTTTTCTCTCCTCATTGACAACCAATAATTTTAAATAGAGTATTCAAACTGCTCCTAAATACATACACATTTTCCCGATCTCTTATGATGCCCTCTCTTCACAGAGTTACTTTTTAAACGTATACTATTTTATAGATACACTATTACTGAATGACTGCCAATTACAAATGAAGACACTTCTATCAATATCAATGCATTTGGCAGAGTTCTAGTTGAAAAGACACAGTTAAGTATTAGAATTTAATAGGTTAGACTGTGACATTGGTTTTTAAATCAAGGCTCTGAAACACTGTTCTTTTCATTAAAGTACTGTGAAACACAAATAGGGTAATATTACAGCTCTTTTTTTTTAAAGTAAATTTTGGTCTCATTCAGAGGCATATCAGAATTGCAATGAAAAATTCAAGAGACTGACAAAATCAACCTCCTGGCAAATTTCAGCCAAACTCTTCTGACACAAATTCATCACACTGACACCCATACCTTTATAACTCAAGAAGGAGAAATTGCCTTAAATATACATGGAAGTTCAAGAGACTGAAAATCAAACACCAACACTAAAGACAATTTTTTTCTATTAATCTGTCAATTCAAATAACTCTTTCCAATTAAGTTCCACTTGTTTAGCTCTGACAGCTTGGAAATTATTCTTTATCAGAGAAGTCTGAGTTTTGTCTTGCCAAAAATTTACTAATGGTTCAATAATCATTGCTTGCTTTATTTAAAGGATGAGTTTGCTGTGGAGGAAATCATTTTCTCTTACTTTAAAACTGAATTTTTTCACTTGGATTTTTCCACTAGAGTCTCAATAATTATTCAAAAGGTTTGTTCTTCTTCATGTGCTTGGTTGAAAAATTGAAGGTATGAAATTCACAAGTTAGTTATGTCATTTAGGTTACATAAAAGAAATAAACTCATGAAAATGTTCTGTAATAAACAAAATGTGCCCAAAGGCCAGATTTAGGTCACAGTAGTAATCCCCCCACTAGAAGAAATAGTAATTCCAGTAGTAAAAATGGGATGGTGACAATGATTCATCTTCTGATTGTTCAGTACAGAAATAGCCTAATCAAGTGCTATGCACACAAAAGTCTAGATATCTCAAAAAAACAAGAGACAATATTTTTAATCAACTTGAATTCAGAATAAAGCAATATGTGCCAGACATCTGTGCTCCTCAATTTCACATGTCAAATCCTAAATCCTCTATAAGTCCCTCCAGAATTCTAGTCCAAATTCTCTACCATTTATAGGCACTTCTGTTTGTTCAAGTGATCTTCCACATATCACCTTCCACTTTGATAATAATTTTTGTTTTGTGCACATAAACACAGAGCCTCCATTATAAAATCTCAAGCTACATAATGGTAAGATCTGTATCTAATACTTTGCTTTCCCCTCTGTATTTGTCAAACATAATACTCAATAAATGTTGGATGAATATGCATATTTCAAAAAGTTTTGGTTCAGATTTAAATTCATGCCTACTCTTTTTCAGTTTCTTTTTTTAAATAAGTTTTTATCTAAATTCCAGTTAGCTAACATACAGTGTAATATTATTTTCAGGTGTACAATATAGTCATTCCACACTTTCATAAAACACCTGGTGTTTCTCACCACAAGAGCACCCCTTAACCCCCATCATCTATTTAACCCATTGCCCCACCCACCTCCCCTCTAGTGACCATCAGTTTGTTCTCCGTAGTTAAGAGTCTTGTTTCTGGCTTTGTTTCTTTCTTTCTTCTCTTTGCTTATTTGTTTTGTTTTCTGGCCCTAACACTAACCCTGGCCATAACCTAACACCCTAACCCTAGATTTGAGAAGAAAAAAGATACACACACACACATACACGCACACACACAGAATATTACTCAGCCATAAAAAGAATGAAATCTTGCCATTTGCAATGACATGAATGGAGCTAGGGAGAATTATGCTAAGCAAAATAAGTCAGAGAAAGACAAATACCATATGATTTCACTCATATGTCAAATTTATACCTATTTCCGTAAATGAGTGTGCATACACAGGGTAGACACAATCATAATGATTGGAAGTTACCATATCAATTACTAGTGAGTATGGAAAAGAAGCAGGAAGTTGAAGTAAGTCTAATAATATGTAAAGGTGGCAGGGTTGCAGGAGATGCTTAGACAAATAGGAAAGTAAAGAACTGGGATAAGGAAGGGAAAGGACACCTTTGTTAAGCTCTTTTGTCTTCCCCTCTAATAAATTAGTAATATTATGCCTAAACAAAAGAAAATAAAATATTGGAGACTAATAATCCAAGGATTCTAGCTCACATGCAATTTCATGGTTGCATTAAATGAACAACACAATTATTTAAAATGTATATCCTTCAATCAATGGAATTACGGTATCTTAGACTTAGAAGTAACATTAAAAGGGATTTGGACCAGCCTCTCAAATTTTAAAAACTCAGGTTATACAGTGTCATGGTCTACATTCCTAGAAAATAGAACCTAAAACAAAGCTTGCCTTATTAGGGGTGAAGGTGGGGTATAATCAGAGGGAAATGGGCATGAAGGAAAAGGGAAGAAAGTGAATACAAGAGAGTAAGTTACTGAACTGGCCATAGCTTTACAAAAATTACAAGTGGTTGCTTAGAGTCCCAGGTTGTCTCCATCAGTGCCAACTTCATGGGCATGTGACCTATGCAATCACTCCATGCTTAGAAGCGTCCTACACTTTGTTTAATGCTCTGTTGTCACCATTTTGAAATTCTTATTTTAAATGGAGCCCCACATTTTCAGTTTTCACTAGGCCCTACTAATCATATAATCAGTCCTGGTCTCCAGATATGATAAATGAAACCGTAATTTGGAAGAGTTGGTTAAAGGAGGTTAGCAGTTCACCTGTTGGTGTCTTCTCATTTTCTATTCTCTCATTGGTAAAATGCTGTTTCAGGAGTGTTAACTTCCCATTTTAGATGGGGAGCAAGACAAGTGGCCCAGGCTTGGAGGTAGGGGGTGGCCTAGAAGGGGTGCTCAGTAATCTATGGTGGTATATAAATTAGATCCAGAACAGAGGATTCACTATACCCTAAGTGGCTTATTCCCTTGACAGCTGATATAATTAGAAAAATTTCTGTTTACTTATAAACAAAATCAGCCTACTTGAACTCTTACCAATTAGTCCTCATGTTGCCTTGTAGCAACACTGATTAAGTCTATTCCCTATTTTACAGGAAAGGTGTCACTTGCATCTTTCTTTTTTTAAAGATTTATTTATTTATTTGAGAGAGAGAGAGAGAGAGAATGAGTGGGAAGGGCAGAGGGAGAGGGAGCGAGAAACTCAAGCAGACTCCATGCTGAGCGCGGAGCCCAACATGGGGCTCGATCTTATGACCCTGACCTGGTCACTTCCATCTTCCTAATCTGCCCAGGCTACAAATACCCAAGTTCCTACAACTGGTCTTCCTAAGGTATAGGGGTTAGTTATTACTTGAACTCTTAAGTAATAAGTAACATTTAGTGAGTACTTATGTGTAGACTTTATTCTAACTAGTTTTATGTATTAACTCATCTAATCCATACAAAAACTCTATGAGGTATGTACCAAATTTAAAAAATATTTCTGGAAATTAAAACCTGTGCAGTAACCTGTATTCCTCTGGTGACATTTATAAATTAGTTATTTTGGCTTTCTAGACTTGTATAAAAGATAACTGTTTTTTTGTTTTGTTTTGTTTTGTTTTTGGGGGGGAGCATTACTATTAACATGTGTTTACCTGCCTGATCCCTTGCCTTAAGTACATTTGCTTCAGTCTTAAGAGCTGGGAGTCAATCAACTATTTAATTAGGTCCTAGCTGGGGCACCTGGGTGGCTCAGTAGTTTAAGCGTCTGCCTTCAGCTCAGGTCATGATCTCAGGGTCCTGGGATGGGGCCCCGCATCGGGCTCCCTGCTCAGCGGGGAGCCTGCTTCTCCCTCTGCTGCTGCTCCCCCGGCTGTGCTCTCTCTCTCTGTCAAATAAATAAATAAAACCTTAAAAAAATAATTAGGTCCTAGCCTCCATTACTTCTAGTATTGAGAGAGAGAAAAGGAAGGAAGGAGAGAAAGAAGGTGTGTAGGAGGCTGAGGGGGAGGGAGGCAAGAGAGAGACCGAAATATTTTTACTGGAGGTGGGGGGAGATGTAGAGTACCTAGAGTCCCAAGAACATTAAAATACCAGAGTGGGTTAGAAATGCTTGTCTTCTGCATCGTCTCAGACTCAGGGTATATTTTTGTGCCTGCCATTATTTAGTTCACTAATATAAATTAGGGGATCTTTAATGACAGTGCAAACATTTTCTGAGTAAATTCCCACTATAGGCATTTTCAATGAC